GTCCAGCTTTTCCTGAGAGAACGAAAGCATTTCACCAGTGAGGACACTGAGGATCAGAGTAGACGTGCCTGACTGTAAGGTAGCAGAAGGGGCCTTTGTATATAGACCTGTTCGGATATTAAGTCAGTTTTTTTCCCCCATGGCACTGAAAAGTATTCCTTTAGAACTGAAGAATTCCTGGACGCATCCTCTCCCGTCTTTCCAGAGGTAGGAGATGGTAGAATATGCCCCTATTTTATCAGGCTCACAAATATCAGCCATCGATAAAAGTTGGGTATTATCACTAGGCATCACCTTGGGGTCATGCTGAGTTTGAGACACTCTTGGCCCTTTGTAGCTGTCTACTGTAGGTCATGTGGCCCCTCACTAGGAAGACTTCAAGGAATAACCAATGCTATTCCCTGGCTAGGTACCAACCACTCTCAGCACAACCTGAGCCAAAGGCAGACTAGCTCATTTCTGTACTTAGAAAGACTAGCCATAGATCCTAGATTATTAGGTAGCCATGCAAGCCTGGAGGAAAGGATTCAGCAAGCCTCAGACTCACACGATGGATTGGTCAGTCATGGGGGTGGGAAGGGTCTCTGCACCTCAAGACCAAAACCAAGGACTTGCATCACTAATGGCCAAGGCTTGTCCTCTGAGTCAGGTGACCAGGTCTGATCCAGGTTCTAGTTTATTTTGTTGTGTCACCACAGGCGAGTTTAGAATCTCTCTGGATTTCCCTCTACTTTACTTAGAAAATGAACAGGGCTCTGTTCCCCAAGATCTAACCCAGCTCTGCAGCAGAACACCCTTGGCAGCCTTCCCTGCCCCTGCTCCTGTGGATCCCACAGCTTTTCCCTCTAACTATCCTCCCCCAACTTGTTGCTTTGTCCAAGACCACAACCCCAGCAGGCACCCCCTGCTAAACCCATGGGCCCGTTCCTTCCAGGGCAACTAGTAGCCTGAAGGCAGACACGTACTTCTCCTACTGCTCTGGAGATCCAGTGCCCCCAGTCTCATTCACAGCTCTGTAGCTGGAAACCTGCTATGGTCTCCCTTTCCTCTCTGACCCCATCCCCAATGGATCACAGAGACCTTCTCCTCCAATCTTCCATCTCTCAACTCATCCCAGTACCCCAGCCTCTAACACCAGCCGGCATTCCCTGAGAACACACCAGCTGAACAGGCCAGGAAATGAGGCAACGCACATCCATCACACCCTCTGAAAATCCAGAGAGGAAACAGAAACTAAGGAACAAAATACCCACCAACAAAGACAAATCCAGAAATCATCACCCAGACCTATAATCATCCCAAACCTAGATGCCAGCATAAAAACACAATCAATAACAGCCAGGGCAGTAAAGGTTCACTAGATCCCAGCTAGTCTATCAGAGTAGACCCTGGAAATTCTAACACAGCTGAAGCAAACAGTGCAAGGAAATGAACACATATCTTAAAGAAATCCAAGAAAACAAAAACAAACAGTTGAAGGAAACACAATTGTTCAAGACCTGAAACTAGAAACAGAATCAATAAACAAATGGAGGGAATTCTGGAAATTAAACATTTAGAAACTTGAACAGAAACTACAGAAGCAAGCTCTACCAACAGAACACTAGAAATGAAAGAGAGACTCTCAGGCATTGAAGATAAAATAGAAGAAATAGACACATTAGTCAAAGAAAATGTTAACTCTAAAAAGCTCCTGACACAAAACATCCAAGAAATCTCAGACACTGTGAAAAGACCAAATCTAGGAATAACGGGAATAGAAGGAGAAGAATCCCAGCTCAAAGAAACAGAAAGTATTTCCAACAAGATCACAGAAGAAAACTGAAATGCCTATAAAGAATGAGATGTCTATAAAGTTACAAGAAGCATGCAGAGAACCAAACAGATTGGTGTTCAAACAGAAAAAGAAAGGTCCCTCACCATATAGTAACCAAAATACATACAGGAGAAAGAAAGACTATTGAAAGCTGCAAGGGGAAAAGACCAATAACATACAAAGGCAGACCTGTTAGAATTACATCTGACTTCTCAATGGAGACTTCAAAAGCCATTAGGGCCTGGACTAGAGGCTCTAAGAGACCACAGATGCCAGCTCAGACTACTATGCTGCACTGGCTGGCTTTGTGTCAACTTGTCACAGGCTAGAGTCATCAGAGAGGAAGGGCCTCAGTTGAGGAAATGCTTCTAGGAGAGCTAGCTGTAAGGCATTTTCTTAATCAGTGATTGATAGGGGAGGGCCCAGCCCATTGTGAGTGGTACCATCCCTGGGCTGGCAGTTCTGAGGTCTTCAAGAAAGCAGGCTGAGAAAACCACGTAAGCAGCACCCCTCCATGGATCCTGCCTTGTTTGAGTTCCTATCCTGGCTTCCTTCATGATGAACAGTGATATGGAAGTGTAAGCCAAATAAACCCTTTTCACTCCAACTTGGTGTTTGGTTATGGAGTTTCATTGTAGCAATAGAAACCCTAACTAAGACATTGACCCTGAAAAACTTTCAGTCACCATAGATGGAGAAAGTAGGAAATTCCACAATAAATCAAATCTAAACAATACCGACCTACAAATCCAGCTTTACAGAAGGTGCTAGAAGGACAACTCCAACCTATGACGTAGCTGAACCCATGAAAACTCAGGAAGTAAATGATATCACTGAAAGGATGATAATCAGCACTGGTGGTGGCACTGGTTACCAGTGGGAAAGTCACAAGCCACAGCCACAACTACCAGGGTTACAGAGAGCCTTATTAGGAGGGAAAGGTAGGGGGGGGGGGGAGAGAGGGGGAGTCAGGCCTGGGGGGGGAGCAGAGCAGAGCAGGGAGCAGAGAGCAGAGAGGAGAGAGAGAGGGTGGGGGTCTGCATCCTGCTTTTTTAAGGCGCAGATTGTGTGACCATGCTGCATGTACGTAGTTGCCAATGCCCCCTAATGACATAAGATGCAAGACCCCGAGGAGTGATGGCAGGATCCTAACATTCCAGCGTTTTGCTTATTATAAAAAACCAAGTGAATAGGAATAGGGGCATTGTTCCTCTCAGAAAAACTGCTTCCAGCTGACTTGGTGGGTGTTGGTTGGCTCTTAGGGGGGTAGGGAAGGGGGCCTTCCGAGGTAGACAGGTGTCCTGGGATGCTGGGCCATCCTGCTGCCCTGGAGCCGTCCAGCCCTTTTGGCTTGGCACTCTGGCTGCTTTTGTGTCTGACAGGATGCTGGTGAGACAGAAAAAGCCTGAAGTAGATCCGACCTGTCCAGATGGATTTAAGCTGGTTTCTGGAGCTTGGGAAAAAGTTTGAACATGTTAAAAAGCAGCCATGAGAAAATCAGTGACTATTGTTTAGTACTCTGCTTATATTGGTTGGTGTTAGTGAGAGAGACAGAGCAAGAGTCTGTCCTATGGGACCTCAGCAATGGATAATAGTATAGGAGAGTTTGACTTCTGACAGTGTCATATCCATTCTTTTTGTTCTATAACACCACATGTCACTCTCACCTTGGCCCCACAATTCAGCTCAATAGTTGAGGAGGGCTGGAGAAGTACATATAAGTCCTTTTCCCTGATGACAGAAAAAACAGAGATGGTCAATGACAACCCAGGTCTGAGTCAGCAAAGCAATTCCGTGTCTAGTCACAGGGATTAATCTGGGGATGACCACTTGGGGCAATGAAAGTTAGGACCAGGGTTTTATTGAGACTGTTAGAAAACCGGATTTGCTCTTTTTTCTGCTGGGAATTCTAGCTGAAAAGGTGATGTCCAAGTCCAAGCTGCTATGGGTCACAGTTCACATGAAGCCATCACAGATACAAAGTCACAACAAAGACAGATTGACACTAATTAGTGTCCTAAGGACACTAATTCAGAGACCTTTAAGGCTGTTCTATATAGTCTTCCATTCTGTACTAATATTATCCCAGTTGTACTTAAGCCAAATTGATTAAGGTTGAATCAGACTATAAATTCTCAGTGGAGGGAGTCCAGGCTGATCAAATTGTCTAGGCAGCTCTCACTTTAAATTCAGTAAAGATACAGTCCCTCTATTTCATTTACCAGCTGGATTATTATGTTGTAAACCTAAAACAAGCATGCCTTATGTGAAATTTTTGCTTGAAAACTTATCATTGCAACTGAGGGTACACAAGCTTACCCCTTTCTAAACTGAGAAAACAGAGGCAAAGCAGGAAGATGAGCAGACCACAAAGGCTACAGCAAAGACAATCTGAGCTCCAATCAGCTCGTCTCAAACACTGTGAAGCTGGATTTATGCTTTAGCACTGAACTTGCCAGAGTCTAAACTGCTGATGCAAGTAACACTGCACACTGAGAATGTGACGTTAGCAGGTAACAAAGAGCGAGTCTGCCTGCTCAGACATTTCTACAAACAGCAGGGATCTCTGCCTCAGACCACAACCACAAATGACTCTAAAGTATCATTCTCCATTCCACTGCAACTTGGGTTGCAAGTATCATGGTAGCAATGATGCCACCGATGCCACAAACACAGCATGGATAAAGAGCAGAGGATGAAAATAAATAAGCCAGTGTTGGGAATGCACATTTTCAAGACCCACCCCTGAGCTTCAGTGTTTTCAATCTTCAGTATATTTTTATGTGATGCTTCTTTTTGATGTATAGTACAAGTTGGATACTTTATTAGTATAAAATTTCTGTCTCCCCAGCTACAGTATGAATCCTTTCAGGCACAGGACCTTATCTTCCTATACATACAATAGATCTGACATAAAATAGATGAAACTATCTGGTAGAAGCCAGAGAGGAAGTGTATGCCCATGAGCTCAGCACTGGAGAGGCAGGAGTTTGAGAGTTTGAAGCCAGACCCTGTCTTACACACACACACACACACACACACACACACACACACACACACACACACACAGAGAGAGAGAGAGAGAGAGAGAGAGAGAGAGAGAGAGAGACAGAGACAGAGAGAGAGAGAGAGAGAGAGAGAGAGAGAGAGAGAGAGAGAGAGAGAGAGAAGAGAGAGAGAGAGAGAGATTAGAGTGATTTACAGGCTGTGGTCCATCCAGTTCAACAATGACAGTCTTCTAACAGAAAAGCCAAGAATCTGATAGTCGTTCAGTCTATGAGGCTTAATGTCTCATCTGGTCTTCAGTCTTTGTGGAAATCCTGAAGAATTGGGATCTATTACCATAGCAGGGATGCCCCTGCAGCAGGATAGATGAATTTGCCAGCAAGAGCGAGGGCAAGCACGCAAAAAGTGAAAGCTTCCTTCTTCCATGTCCTTTTATGTGGGCTGCCACCAGAAGGTGTGACCCAGATTTAAGATGGTCTCTGACTTCATAAGATACAGTCAAGAGAACCCTCCACAGGAGTGCCCAGCGGCTTGGATTTGAGTCAGTTCTGTATGTAGTTAAGTTGACAACCAAAATTAGCCATCACACTGGTTATTATTAATTTGAGTGTTTCAGCCTGTCCTGCATTAACGAGGAGGCTAGAATCTCCTAAGGCTTCTTCATGGTGACCTCCCATTTCCCATCCAGTTCCTGGGCCACCTCACCTGGGTGACTTCCTCACTGAACCCCTCCAACCCAGACGAGCTCCTGCAGCTGCTGGACACTGCCAGGGTGAGGCGCTGGGGAAGAGGGAGGAGGGCAGGGTCTCCTTTCCTTTCCCTTCCCTTACCCCAGTCCCTGGGGACTCAGGAGATCCGACCCACCCCGCAGCAGCTGAAGGAGCTGCCTCTGAAGACCACGCCGGAGCAGGACAGCATCCTGAGCCTGTCGGCACGCTGCCTGCTGCTCACTTGGCGGGACAACGAGGAGCTCATCCTGCGCATCCCCACGCACAAGATCGCCGCTGCCTCCTATCTGCAGGACGACGCGCTGCATCTGCCAGTGCTTAAGACTGGTGCGGTGCAGGGAAGCGGGGTCGGGAGGCCAACCTGCAGTGCTGGGACCATTGAGTGAAGAGCACCAGGGATGGGTCCGAGGCTGGGAGACGTATAGCAGAAATCTGGGCACACTATTCTGAGACTAGGGGCAGGCAGAAGAAGCCATAGGCAAGACCAGACAGCCTGGAGTTGCAGATGAGGAGTGGGCAGCCTGACCAGATTGAGGTTGGGTGGGACAGAGAAGTTGGGAGTCCCGAGTTCCACGCAGGGCTACTTTAGTAGAGTTCAACGTTAAAGGAGGTGGTAGAAGACATAATCCCTCGGCTCTGACAGTAGGGGGCACCCTCGGGCTAGGGGAGGACTGGGGTCTGGACTTCTAGGAGGTTACAGTCAGCAATCTGGGAGTGGGACTGAAGATAGCAGAAGTCGTACTGGAAGGCAGGGATGCTTAGACCAGGGTCACCGTCCAAATGAAGGGTACGGAGAAAGGGGACAACTTGACCACCACCTTCAATTCAGAAGGCAGGCCTGAAGGGAAGGGCTCCAGGGTGTGTAGGGGAGGATGGGAACTAAGCTACTGCCGCCCTGGAGATCTGGGGCGGAGCCAAAGTCTGGAGGCGGAGTCATAGGCCCAGGGCGGGGGAGAGGGGGAGGCGGCGAAAGTCATGACAGCAGAGCCTGGGCTCTGGTGCTGGGCGGGGCCTTAGAGCAGGGACCCCAGAACTGTGCGGTGGCCCTCCGGGTGGCCTCCGCAGCCTGTGCGGTGACACCCCCCCCCCCCATCCCTGGCCTCCCCTAGGTCTGGGCGTGGACCCGGTGCCGGCGGGCGTGGACGCCAGCCCCGGAGGTACGGGGCGAGATCCCGGCCCTCCTGGCGCCGCACCCGAAAAGCGGCGGGTGGGCACCGCCGAGCGACGCCACACCATCTGCAGCCTGGACTGGCGCATGGCGTGGGGCGGGGGTGCGGGCGCCGAGGCCCGGGCGGCGGGCGGCGGCGGCAGCCTGGAGCGGCAGCGCGCGGGAGCTCGGGCGTCGGGCAGCTGGGAGCGGCGACAGACGTTCAGCGGCAGCTGGGAGCGGCGGCACGCGGGCGGCGGCGGCGCGGGCAAGCCCGGCGGCAGCTGGGAGCGACGCCACCCCGGCCCCAACCCGCTGGATCCCCAGAACCCCAGCCCCGACGCCTACTGCAACCTAGTCATCCTAGCTGTGGCCAACAGGGTGAGCGCGAGGCAGTGTTGGCGCCACCGCCCTGACTGTCACAATCGCACTAATCACACCACACACGTGAAGCACCGACCCAAGACAGCCGCCATCGGACAACATTAACACTTAATCCCCACAGCAGCCCCTGGGGCAAATATCACACCTATTCCCATTCCTTAAGGAAGGACGTAGGCTTTAAGTTTAGGTCCTGCGTAAGCAGGTGGCTTCAAGATTCGAACCCGGGAAATTCAAAGCCTTACTCTTGGTAACTAAGGTAGCCACCCAAGGCAGAAGAAGCCTTACCATCATTCTTGCCTGCCCTGCCTGTCACCTCTCTGTCCCCATTCACCTTTGCTCTCACTCACTTGAATATACACACAGTGTTTCTCTGTGTGTAGCTCTAGCTGTCCTGGATCTCGCTCTGTAGCTCCAACCGGCCTCGAACTCACAGAGATCAGCCTGTCTCTGCCTCCTGAGGCCTTCGTCACCACTGCCTGGCTGGCTCCGTGGTGTTTATTGAGTGCCAGCTGTGTGCTCCACACTGGGCTAGGTGTTGTGTGTATGGAGGTGAGCAAGCCATTTGGTGTCCTCCCTAGAGGAGTACCCAGTCCAGCAGGCACTTTCAAGCAAGCTTGAGCCTTCCAAACATCACCTCTACCCCAGGGCCCTGGGCTCTCTCTCTCTCAACAACGAGTGTGCTTGTGTGCAGGGAGAGGCAGCCAATACCTGGAACGCAGCACTGTAGCTCAGGCCCCCACCCTGAGATACTTTCTCACTTGCTATCTAGGGCTCCTTCTCTGGTTTTCCCCACCCCCCACGCCATGCTTCTGCTTGGAAGCTGGTACCTCCTTTTCTCTCCAGCCTCTTAAAGTAGGGGTTGTCTAGATATTATCCTCAGTCTTCTCTCCTTTATCCACACTTGTTTCTAGGTGATTTCGACTCTGCTGCCTTCTAAAACCTGGAGAATACCCTGAATTTCATCTCTAACCAAATTTCCGCTCATCTTGTCTTTTCCAGGTCTGCTTGTCGTTGCAGCATAAATTTGTCCCATTGAGCTCCCAGTCTCCTCCCAAACCTGAAAGCACCTTCATCTCCTTGTTTCAATTGAATGGCAGTTCCATCCTTGGTGGCTTGGGCTGAAACCTTGTAGTGGGTCTTGGTTTGTCTGTCTCTCTTTCTCTGTCTCTGTCTCTATCTTTGTCTTACACACACACACACACACACACACACACACACACACACACACAGACATATACACACACACACAATCTACTCTGTCAATAGATCCCACTGGTCTTATTTTTAAATACACGCAAATCCTATGGCCTGTACTGTCCATTCCCTGTTCCATCTCCTCTCGCTGGGATAATGTCATAATGCTCTACCCCCATTGGCTCAGCCCTTTCTTACATTCTGTACTCTACTGCCTCATCCAACACAACCTCATCCTGGAAACTTGACTAGGGTGACGAGGAAATGAAAACGGACAGACACATAGACACATAGACAGAAAAGCTAGGATCAATGGGTCGTGCTGGCTCTGAAAGGAAGTGAGCGGCCCGTGTGATAGGGAATGGAGGAAGAGACCTGCTTCAACAGGAAACGTTAGTTCGTTATTGTTTACAATGAAGCAGGAGGAGAAACAGTCAGTCCAACCAAGGACCTGCAAATTGAGCACCAGACAGGGGCAACCACGTGCGTTGGCTAGCCCACTCAAGCGTGGCAGCTTTAAGGCTTCGGGCCCGGCCTAGTGGTAGAATAAGTAAATGAGTTGCTTTCCAGGGCTCTGAAGTACAGTGGTCCCAAGCACACCAGTCAGAGCTAAAACACCCGGTGCCAGCCTTAACTATAAAATGAGGGTCCTCTCTGACCTGTCAGGGCAAGCATCCACCCTGGTGTAAATATCAGTACCTGCTACAACCACAGATACCCATCCTGAATTACATTTTAATTTTTACCTTAGGCTTTTTTAGAGGCAGTATATTCGTAAGCATGATCTTTTTCAATCAGTTATTGTTTCAAATAGTAATTGCAGAAAAATTGGCAGTTATTCTGTGTCTCGCTCGAAGAGGTGACTTCCTCCTCGAACGCACAATCTCCAAAGCCTTGCCCAAGCCTCTACCTTCTACAGAGACTACTGTCATGACGTTGCTTCCAGTATCGCATTGGGTACCAGGGAGCCCACAGCTGTACATTGTGTCCAATAGTAATAACAGCACTGAGCCTAAGGTTTTGATTCTTTGAAGTGTCCCTCCTCCTTCTAATCCCATCTTCATACTGGGCTTCAGATCATGCACCTGTACAGTAAGTTAAACGAGCCCTTATGTTAGGTAAAGTTCGTGATAGGCCAAGAATTCCCTGGAAGTCTGGAATGTATTTTCATGGCACAGGGGTCAGAGTTGCCTCTTGGTTCTATGAAGATCATAAGAACAGGAGAGGAGCCATATAATTTTGAGGGGAAATGTCTTTGAAATTCGCTTAAGGGGGCCCAAGGGGTGTGTCTCAGTCCCGGCTCGCACTGCATCTGGGGAAGCAGAGGTGCCCTGATAGAGGCCAAGAGCTGAGCTCTCTTCCTCCCCCTGGACCAGGATGCTGCTGAGGAGTCCTGTGCACTCATCTGTCAAGTCTTCCAGATCATCTATGGGGACCAGAGCATCGAGTGTGTAAACCGGGCTGGCTACCACTACAGATCCACGCCCAAGCGGCCGTGGCTCTCCAGCTGCAGTGAGTACCTAAACTCCCAGAAAGCACCCAGAAAGGCTGGATGTCCTGAGAGTCGGGGCTGATAAAGGTCTTTAGGGGTTCTGAGCTGTACCCCAGTTCTAGGGATCCACTTAATAGAATATCAGTCTTCAAGATGACCTTTTAAGAGATGATCAGGGGCTGGAGAGATGGCTCAGAGGTTAAGAGCCCGACTGTTCTTTCAGAGGTCCTGAGTTCAATTTCCAGCACCCATATGGTGGCTCACAACCATTTGTAATGAGATCTGGCACCCTCTTCTGCATACATAATAAATAAATTTAAAAAAAAAAAGAGATGATCAGGTTGTCAAGTTTGGGATGAGTATGAACTTGGGCACTTGAAACTTCTCTCTTGTTTTGGGTGTCCCTGCTTTGCAGAAAGTTAAGCTTGGGTATTGTCTGCTAACTGTGCCATCCACCCCATGAGGCTCCTAGGCTAACATTGCTGGATTAGTCCATGTATACAGTCAAGGACTGAAGTTAAAGTGAGACAAACAGGGGCATTTATTGAGTGCCAATTAGATGCCAAGCACAATAGCAAGGTGCCAAGTCGTCTTCTTCTTCTTCTTCTTCTTCTTCTTCTTCTTCTTCTTCTTCTTCTTCTTCTTCTTCTTCTTCTTCTTCTTCTCCCCATCCTGCTCCAGATGATCTGAGCACTCCTGGGGTATAGGTGACAGGACTGGCCTCTCCTTCTCCTCCCTCCTCCCCCTTCCTCCTCTCCTCTCCTCCTGGAATTAGCATGCAGCCATCACTCTGTCCTCATTCTTTTTTTTCTCCCATTCCACCCTACAAGGATGTTTCAAAGCTGTCCTTTGTCCCCCACTGCCCTGACTTGGGTGTTGGCTGCAGACCTGGATGTGACATCTCAGCCTGCTCTTTTATGTCTCACTAATCTGTCAAGCTCAGGTACTCTTCCTAAAATGTGTGCCATGGCATCTCCTTGGTAAATCCTTCTGATCTTTTGGGTTCATGTGTGTCCAAGAAAGAATCGCAACTCTCAGGGCCATGACAAATGCTGGCCGGAGAAAGGGAAGCGTTGACCAGAACCTCCAGGTTCGTTAGCCTGCTGCCGAGTCGTACCTCCTGCAGCTGGGTTGGAACTCCCAATATTTGAGCCCTTTGACCCGTGCCTCTTGAGTCCATGTATCAAAGCAGACCCATTTGGACTCCCTGAGATTAAGACAGGTTCACCACAATGAAAGACAGGCTTCAGGAAATGAGCCACAGATGAGAGGGTGGTCGCCGTCGATGTCGTCGGCCTCCTCCTCTTTTTCCTCTTCTTCTTCCTCCTCCTTCCTTCTTCTTCTCCTCCTCTCCCCTTTTTCTTTATTTTTATTCAGGAAACTATCCTAGTATAATTGTTATTCATGCCAGACAACTTGGCTACAAAGCCTGGTTTTACCAATTACCAGCCAAATAACCTAAGCAAGTTACTCTTTCTGGGCCTTGAAGTGGTAATAGGAAAACAAATTATTTTCTCAAAATCCTTACACCCATTCAGGTCCTCTAGCAAATTCCCAGGCTGTGCATGAGGACGTTCAGCAATGCTAAGCCATTCATGGCCCAGGAACATCTCCAACCAATGATTGTGCCAGTTAGTGGAGATATACCTTTTCTTCACAGCAACAGGACTGAGCTCCCCCAGCGTAGTGTGGTGACCTGCTGAGTGACAGATGTTTCCTGTCCCACTTCCCTTCTCTCTTACCAGGGCTTCCTGGGACCACCTCCCAAATATTTTCCTTATACTCAAATGCTTGTCTTTGGCTGTGTTTCCATGTAAAGGAAACCCAAGCCATCCCTCTTAAGGACGATGAAACAAATGCTGGGGGGTGGGGAGAAAGAGAGAGAGAGAGAGAGAGAGAGAGAGAGAGAGAGAGAGAGAGAGAGAGAGACTGGACTAGCTCATAGCACCTCATTGACAAAGTCCAAATTCAAACTCTGTCCACCTTGCCTCACAAGGCCCCGCTGCTCCCCTCTCGAGTTCTGTGGGCTTCTGCTCGCAGCTGCCGCATTAATTCACCTGGTGACAGCTCCCACTAGCAAATAGAAGCTTCCCAAAGGCAGCTGGGCAGCTCCCAGTCCCGCAGCTGTCCCCTTCACAGTAGTGCATGGTGCACAGTCAGTCCCCTTTTCCACCTTTGCGTGGGCGTTGGCCTAGAGTTCCCTGGTTTAAAATCAATAGTCAATATTTTAATAAACTTAAACACGGGATTAAAAAAAAAAATCTCATGAAAGGCGGACGACAGCCCGAGGTGTAACTCCCCAGGGTGCTATTAGCAATTTGGCATGTCCTGTCCAATGGGAGCATTAACGGAACTGATTAAGAAACTGTAACTGTGTAACTGTAGCGACAGAGGTGTGAAGTGAGGCGGCACACAAACAGATGTCCCAGCAGGTCCTGCTATGCTATCGTCAGCCTCCTGGCCGCCTCAGGAGGACCGCAGCAGGCTTGCTGGGATCCTATGGTGACTGAACTGCTGGGCATACGAACCCATCTGGTCAGCTACTCTTGCAGACGGGGAAACCGGAGAGGAGAGGGTGCAAGCCTGGCCATGGAGGGCAGAACCAGGAACAGGATCCAGGTCTCTTTACTCACAGACAAGTGCTTCCTCCTAAACCCATGGTGACTCTGGGTTCCCGTCTCTCAGCCTGAGTTTTCACCTCCGTAAAATGGCAACTTAAGGGAATTCATGGATGTCAAGGTTCTGAGGATTAGACGAGACCATGTGTGGAAGTTTTGTCCATTACAAATATACAAATGTAAGAAACTGGAGTGGAGAGGGCTATAAAGTCTCAATGTCAGCGGTTCTCAACCCTCCTAATGCTGTGACCCTTTAATACAGTTCCTCACTTAGTGGTGACCCCCAACCATAAAATTATTATCGTTGCTACTTCATGACTGTAATTCTGCTACTGTTGTGAATCGTAACGTAAATAGCGGTGTTTTCTGATGGTCTTAGGTGGCCCCCGTGAAAGGGTCATTCAACCCCAAGGTTGAGAACCGCTGCTCTATTGACAAATTTGGTGGGGGTCCTTACTTTCCAGCTTGCTTAGCTGAGCACCAATTTCTTCTTTCACCTTCCTGCCCAGTCTCTACATACAGTGTAAGCTGGCCTCAATTCTAGATTCTATAGTCCAGCCTCCAACATATTGCAGTGCGGGGTGTGGACCCCAGGCCCCTGCGTGCAGTAAGCAAGTGCTGGACCACTGAGCTGCATCCCTCCCTAGCTCTTCATCCCACCCACACGCCACCTCTGCTTTTGAAGGGAGCTTTGAAATTGGACGTCGGAAATAAAGTAATGCTTTCGTAACAGGAATTGGTTCAGGCTAAATGCGAAAGGCCTTTCTTTTTCAAGGCTGCCTATCATTTCCAAGGGTGTCAGCAAAAGTATAAACTTGAGCACAATGGGCATGTGGTTGACAGAAATGTCAAGAGCTGTCAGGGTAAAACCCTGTTGCTCCAGTGATCAAAGCAAATGGGCTATGCTATGCATGGGGCCCCGTTTATTTCTGTAAAGGAAACCCTCTCAGTTTGCCTTCCTTACAACCAGGACCAGAGCAGATTAGCCCTGCAGGGGTCTGGCCAAAGCGGGTGGCTGGCTTTCCCCTCAGCCAAGGCTCCCTCACTCTCTTAACCCTTGTCCTTCTGTCACATCAAGATACACTTGCCCTCCAGCTGTTTCCCACAGTTCCTTACCTGTTGCTTCCCACCGCCTGAGATCCCGGTCCCCCCCCCCCCCCCCCCCCCCCCCCCCCCGCGCGCCTTTTATTTCATTTTTATAAAGAAGAAGAAAAGAAAGGCTGTCCTGCATCTCACAGCACTACACTGATTCTGGGTTCCCGGGAAGCTGATTCTATGAGATGTTGAGCAAATGTTACCCAATGTGCTTCTCTTGATAAGGGTGCTCAGCCTGCTCACCTCCCTGAGGAGCAGGCTGCCCCGCAGCTCCGCCCGCGCCTCCACCCACGCGGTGCTGTCCTGCTTGCCAGCTTCCCTCCGTGTGATCCCCGTCGCCCACTCCACTGCAGGCCTCCTTCCGGACCGCCCCGCATGATGAGTCGTTTGTCAGTTACTATACATCAAGCTGCTACCGTCAAACCCCATCTGTTCCCCGGAGCTTTCCAACAAGAGCCTCCACCCCACCGCCCACAACCGCCAGCAACAGGCAGACTGTCCCGCAAGGGTCCTCTTTCCAGGCCTGCGGGAGGCTCAAGACTGAGCGCCCCAGGACTTGGCTTGGGGAACAGGACACAGCACTGCTGACTGGGGGCCACGCTGTAGCAAATGCAGGCCTCCTTGCTCCTGAACGGTCCTACCCTGGCAAGATCTGAGTGTTGAGCACACAGTGCTGGGCAACTGCACAGGGGGCCAGAAAACGTCATTCAGTGTAGATTTGGGGGCTGGGGAAAGCTCAGGGGTCGACTGCTTTCTGAGCATGTGTGAGGCCCTTGGTTCCAAAACCTGGTATTTCTAAAGATGAGGGCAGGTGTGGGGGGGGGGGGGGGGGGGGCGGCGCGGCGCGCGAGTGTGTATCTCTTATGTAGCTCAGACCATCATGAGATCACTACTGTTATCTCAGGTTTTGTTCTCTACAACACTGATTGGCAGGTGCTGTTATGAGGACCAGTCTGAAGCTTACACAAGTTAGGCATTTCCCCTAATGCACAGACAAAGGTTGATGAGTGTGCAGGATTCTGAGTTCCAGCTGCTTGGATAAGAGTTCATCGTGAGTGAGGTAACCCAGACTCAGAAGGACAAACACAGTATGTGTTCTCTCGTAAGTGGATACTAAATGGGAGGGAAGGGATGGCCAGACTGCAACCCACAACTCCAGAGAGGCTAGCTAACAGGGAAAGACCCTAGGAGGGACACATGGATGACCCTGTGAAGGAGAAGTGGATGAGATCTACATGAGTGGACTGTGTGTGTGTGTGGGGGGGGTGGTGGCAGAGGGTGAGGAGTGGGGGAGGGGAATATAGGGAATGGGAGGGTCAAGCTGGAACAGGGACAGGGTGGGAGGGCAGGGAGGAAGATACCATGATAGATGAGGACATCGTGGGAATAGGAAGAGGCAGGGTGCTGGGGAGGCTCTCAGGAACCCACAAAGTTGCCCCCACCTTGGTCCTCTGGCAGTGGTCCAGAGGGTGCCTGGAACGGTCTACTCTGGTGATCAGCCTAGCAAATAACCTAGCTGTCACCATAGAGCCTTTCTTTGTCCAGTAAGAGATG